GTTCATGCTTATAAAAAATGTTGAGAAGCCCAAATTGCCCAAACTAGTTTGGGCTTTGAGAAAACAGTTTGGACCAGTAACCTTAGTGTAGATATATAAAAGTCTACTGTTGGAATTGTTGAAACAATTGTGAGTACATCAATATCATTATAATTTTTTTTAGGTTGGCTGAAAGGCCATTGAGAGATGACATGTAGTTTGTATCACTGTTGAGAATCTTGCCCTTTTTTATTAAACTCTTAAGCATCTGGACTACAAAATGAAATTTGTTGTTGGTGTGCTGGAGAAAGGCAGTAGACACAAGCTGAAGACTGATTCATGGTATAGAAAAAGAACTTGACTGTGATTTCCCTTCCCATTCAGTTGCTAAAAAAAGTTCATAATCAACACAAGACCACTTGAGCATCTTGATAAAATGTTGTGCACATTGCAAATTTTCTTCAATATGATGATTTTGCAAGGACTCAAGGATCTTACAATATGCATTAAGATTTGGATGACTGTTGTAATTGATAACTAACTCCTCTGTAGATTTTTTATTGTCCTTAGTAGATGGTGTTACAGGTTCTTTGTAAATGTATTCTTCATTCTTTGTATAGTAACAGATGATCCTACAGGTTCTGGTTCATAAATTTCTTCCAATTCTTCAGTATTGATATTGCTTTTATCAGGTTCAATACTATTTTCAAGCATGCATAGATTAATATTAGAAACAATTGCTGGTGTTCTTATAAGATGTTTATGGCCCCTTTGATATGTTTCTGTGGCATTGCATACCTAAAGAAAATATTAAGACAGACTACAGTCATTAATTTAGCAATTATAAATCAAAATTATCATTGTAACAAATGTAATTTCATATGGATTACTATAACCAACATCACTGATATGGTCTTGCTTTGACTGTAATATGATATGTATTTGCATGCCTTGAGAAACTCTATTTTCTTCATCTCAGTTAATTTTGCAGCTTCATATTTATCTGCTTCCTCATTCTTGTTCCAGAAGCTCTTTACTTTATCAGATATTGCCTCCAACTTTACAGGTGGCAAGTGAAAATAATGAAGCAAAAAAGAATAAATGATGAGCATGCTGTGGTTGAAGGTAAGGCTCCGAACGAATCAATGAAATTCGAACCAATTCGAACCAATTCAAATTCGAATCAAATCAAATCACTTAATTTTTGATTCAAATTCAGATTGATTCGATTTGATTCGAACAGATTTGAATATATAATTTGATACAATTTGAACTGATTCGAATATATAATTTGATTTGAACTGATTTGATTTGATTCAAACTGA